CATTTTCTTCATTTTGCATATTGGAATTGAGTCTTCCAGTTCTGTGCCCTCCCTTTTGGCATTGCATCTATTCCTTACATATTCAATCAAGTCAAGAGGACATTCACCCACCATGTGCACAGATTGGGGCTGAGTTTCCATTATTATATGGATGATTGGCTTCTCTTTGCTTCTTCTGGGGAAGACTTCCTATCTCACATCTACATTCTTCTGCAAGAGGCTGCTTGGCTGGGCTTGCTAATCAAGCTTTCCAGATCTTTTCTCATTCCTGCCCAATATTTGATATGTCTGGGAGTGTTCTTCAACTCTCATCTCAGTCAGTCTCAGCCTCTACCACTTGCAAGCAATGGAATGTCTTGTCACCAAGATTTGTGCTTCTCATTTATACCATGTATGTGAAGTTCTTTTGGTTTTGGGGACTCAAGCTTTCCTACAACTACTCATTCCCTTAGGCTGTGCACATATGTGCCTCCTTTAGTGGACATTGTGGGACCAGTAGAACCTTTCTTGGGATCTGTTGTCATTCTTCTCAATTGTGAGCCATTTCCCTTCATTGTCTTGGTGGCTCAGTTGTGCCAATACTACTGTGAGAATGCCCTTGCTGCCCTCCTTACTGGTATCCATGTTTTAACAGATGCTTCTCTGTTGGGTTGGGACACTTCTTTGAATGATGACATGACTTTGGGTGTGTGGGCTTTGGATGAAAGTTCATTCCACATCAATGTTTTCAAACTCCTCACAGTCCATTAGGTATGTTCCCATCTTCTCCCTCTTCTAGTGGATTGATTGATCATGATCCACTTTGATGATCCACAGTTGTTTCTAATATCAACGATCAAGGGTGTAGCTGTTCCAGGACTCCTTTTTCCTGTGCTCTTTTGGGCTCATTCCCATCAGGTATGTCTCATAGATTGCCATATACTTGAGGCTCTGAATTTAGTGGCAGATCATATTTTTCATGCCAGACCAGATTCTACCCACGGAGTGATCTCTTCACCCTCAGATTTGTTGTTGGATTTGCTGTCAGTTGGGTATGACTTTCATTGACTCTACACCCTCAGGTTTGTTGTTGGGTTTGCTGTCAGTTGGGTATGACTCTCATTCACAATCCTACCATGGCCTACATTTCGACCATTATCAGTGGTTGTTTGACTATGGATTGTCAGTTTCTATCACTGTTTGTTAGTGGATAGCTGTATCAACTGCATTTTGCCTTTCCTACTACCATCAGATATTTTCTTCCCCTATTCTCTCCACTTTGTTTTATTCCTTCAGTCTTTACCAATGCCCTCATCCTTCTCCCAAGCCTGGCTGGAATCTTAACCCTTTTGCAACTGGAGCCTCTTTAAATGCTTTTCTGCGCAAATCATTGTGTTACATTTATAATTTAATTAAATACCTTTACTATCAATATTTGTGAATGAAATTAATATTATGTATGTTATGATTCTAAGTTTTATTTTTTCAAAGTTTTAAGTCCATTGTTTGAAAATAAACCTTTAAAAACTATTTAAAACTTCAGATGTGTTGTCACATGACCAACAAGCTATGAAAATTCTGTACTTTGGCTCTCTTTATATTTAGTAATACAATGGTAGTCGGGTAGAAGTATATTTAGACAATAAGTCATATACATAACCTTCTGACATGTTCATTTCAAAGTTCTCTGAATGAATACAGTTGAAACAAGTAATAGAGTTTTCCAACCACTGAAAGGTGCCGTATCCACATTCAACAGATTAGTTTGAGCTTTATAGCTTTATGTAGATGCTACATACACGTGTATATTCATTAGAAAGAGATCATTTTACACTATAATCTGACAACAAATATTTTGAAATTGTGGCACAGTTGTCATGGGTTACATGTAATTGACTCTAGTATTGTTGGCTGCTTGATTGACTATAGCATTTACAGTTGTTTCCTACCTAAATATGTTATAGTTTAGTACTATTATATTTTAGTTAATTATGTAGTAGCTATTTTTTAAAATGCATAATTAAGAGGTTTAAGCATTTTTAAAATATACAACATACCTTACGTCATTCTCAAGGCTTACAATATTATGCACTGAACAGACATTTTACCGAAGGGTTGTGCATGTCTCTTAAAGAAACTGTAATATACCTTGAGCTCACCATTACTTCGAGATGAATAAGTGGAAAAGGACAAGAAAGGAAAATAAAACATTAAAAATTCACTATATGTGAAAAGGAAAATACCTGAAATTGCAAACTTAACAAAAGAAAAATATTTAAAGATATTCTACAAAAAATTAAAAGGTATGTATTTTCTTCTATTTCTTAATTTCAATGCAAGTAAATACAATAGAAAAATAACATATTTTTAGTAAAAACAATAATAATAACATCTTTCTTTGTGTACAAGATATTTATGATCTTTAACAAAATTTTACAAGTTTTTGAATAGATATGTTAAGAAATCTCAGAGTTACTGCGTGTATTGTTGTACAAGTGAAATTCACAACTTGATTTCTGCAAATTGCATGAGCCTGCTGCAAAAGGGTTAATGTGGTTATACATGCTCCCGCACATGCTCCATTCCAGCCATTGGCTTTAAGTTCTTTATACCATCTTTCTCTGAAGACATTTTTTCCTCCTTTTTTTGGTTACCTTCATTCAGTTATCTATGTCATCGATGCATTCTGCACTGTTTTTCACTGTACTTATTTACTCCTGTATCCAGACCATGCCTTTCTTCCTAAGACTTTGGTGGCTGGGGAAGGTGAATGTTCTTTCTCTCCCATCTCCCTTTCTTTGATTTCTTACCATTTCGCTTGTTCAAATCTGGATCATTTTCTGTGTCTGGTTCATGTGATTTAGTGTTATTTGGCATGTGTGTCTCCTTTTGGGGTTCTCATGATGGTTTGATTTTGCCTTGGGACCCCTCTTTGCCCAGTGGTCCTCTTGCCCTGTACCCTTACTGGCTCCACCTACTCCTCTGGTTGGTGTATTCTTCCTAGGATGTTGATGCTTGCAGGCTTTTTCACATTTTGTTGCATCAGGTTCATCACTTGTCTCATTCTCTTGCATCTCATTTTTGCTGACCCTTGGACAAGGTCTTTCAGGCTGGCATATGGATGAATCCACATATGTTTGTCTCCTACTATTTTCATCATTTAGCTGTTTCATCATTTGCAGGATTTCTACATCCTCTGGTCCCTATTCTTCAATCTATAGACCATCTTTGAAAAGGTTAAGTACATTTTCTTTTTATCACCCTCTTAAAGATCTGCCAGCAGTGTTGTAGCTCTCGATGACCACCCTTTGGAAGGTCTTGGTCTAGAGGTTTTTCAGGTTTTGAAAATGGGAACAGCCAGATTTTAAAGTTTTAACATTATTAGACCAGTCACACAGCCAGGATTATTAAGTGCTAAATATCAGCAGTTCATATGAGGGGTGGTGTAACATCAAAGATGTTTTACTAGTAAAATTCTCTTGGTACTACATCTTTGCAATGATGTTTATAATGCCTCCATTATTTTTGTTTATGTCCCCAACTGTCATATTGACTGTACACTAATCCATGAGTATAACACATACTATTCAAAACTAACTGTTACTATACATTGCATTATGCATTGGCTTAGTTTGAACGAACTTCATCTGGTGCACATTTACATCGAACGTTAGTGATCATCCCTGTTATTCAACATGTCCAGTAAATCTTCTGTGATGCTGTTTGGCTTCAAAGATCATAAAGAATTTACTGACACCAATACTGGTTTTAGTTTTATTTGCTGGCCTTTTTGACTTTTGTTATTCATTCATTTTTTATTTTTTCATTGGAGGAAATGTTAAAACAAAGACTATGGGGTTAATGTTTAAAAGATTTGTGGTTAATATGTTAATAAAATTTATTTGATGCATGTGGATTTTGTTCTTCTTGCTTTATTTTTCATTGTGTAATTTATTACAAGGTCTCGATCTTTGTCTTGGACATTGAGGTCTTGACTACAACACTGCCCGCCAGGTGGCTGGTGTTGCCTCCCAGGTTATGCATATTTCCAAAAATCCACATTGGGCTAAGGGTAAGAGAAAGTGCTCAACCCATCTGCCCAGGTTTTACCATTGCCCAATCTTGAGATGGGGTGTTCTGCAAGACCACTAGAGGTATCCTTCTGGTATTAAAATGACTCAGTTTCCTGATCTGTACTATATCTTCCATGGATTATCATGGAAAAAGCCAGTACTAGTGAAGTGTCTGACCACTTTTTTGGCTTGCATTTACCAGCTTTTAAAAATTGGGTTTCGTGATCACCCATTGCACTGTCTCCTGTAAAAGACTTTTCTGGTCAGCATGTGATGGGAATCCAGGCACTTCTCTGAGTCTCCCCGATGTGAATTCTCACCCCCACCCCCCTCTTCAAGTGGAGCCTAGGGAACCCTTGTCACTTAACAATACCTAGCTACTTGAGTGGTGGACCTTGGAGAATTCCTTACTGATTGTGTACATCACAATATGAAGGAAGGGCAGTGTGAGTCACCCCTCCTCCTGCAGCAGGATGGATTCATCACCCTGTTTCTGTCTGTTCGGTTGGATCAAGATCAGACATCCACCATATGATGTAATTGCACCCTAACCACACTACATTCCTTGGCTTGTCAATCATGTGTGTATGGGTGCTTAGTTGGTTATGGGAAATTTCTGCCCAATCCTTTTAGTGAGTTATCTTGAAAAATATAAAATAAATGTCAAACATTCATTCTCATTCCATTTTTTCTTTTTAATTCAGTTTTTTTCTCTGCTACAAACACTAAATATAAAAATCTCATTAAGAAATTATTCTGAAATAGTGATTGATCTAAGTCATACTTAAGAAGCCTAAAACACGCTTTCGTAACTAGAAAATAAAGTTCAGTACTATTGTACATGTATTAGTAGAAAGTTTTCTACTGCTGATATATATATATATGTATGTATGTATGTATATAGTAATTGTTTTATTTATATATACACTTTTATATTTTTCCCTGCAGGTGTAAATATAATCTGAATGCAGTGTCACATGATTCTGCTATCAACCTTATCAAGCATGCTTTGAATCAAGGGGTGAATTTACAAGAGGTAAGAAAGTAGAAGGGGTGCTTTTAAATAAAGAAAATAAGAGCATGAAAGCTTCCACAATTTAAAATTCTTTAAATCTTAGGTGATACGCTAAACTACACTGTTTAAAACATTTAAAGGATAATCAGTGACTTTTCTGTTCTAGCTTTTTCAATGTCTGTACTACCTCTTTGTTAATGTTTATGAAAAACAAGCATCTGATAACCAGTTTTGATTTGTTATGTACATTTCTGTGATATATAAAGATTAAGGAAACTAGTGTGTACTCAGATAGCAGTTTGATAAACAGCAGTGTATAAAGAGATAGTGACACATGCCAGGGCCCTTTAACACTTAGATATTTTCCATGTGAGAAGCAAAAGATTGGCTATAAGCCAGTTAAACATAAGCCATTGCAGAGTGGCTACAAGTTTCACAAAGTGTGGATGGCAGGATGTGAGCTCACATTCAGAATGCCAGTACACTTATCTTGAAACCTGGATGCGATAAACCATTTGTTTGGTTTAAATGTATATTCCTTTTCTCATAAGTAATAATCTATAAAGTTATTCTGGTGTTTGGATAATGTGACATACTATCACAGTTAATTACCCATTACTGTTCAGCGGACGAACTAGTTATTCATTTGTTTGCTAATTTCATTTCTTCACCAAAATTGTATTTCAATGAATAAGAGATTATATGCAGGCCTAATCTATTCTTTGGCTCTTGCTACTCCTGCTACAGCAGACTAGTTTTGCTGAATTCACCTCTCATTGGTATTGCTTGAAATAGTGAAGCAAATACATAAAGTAGGCTTCATATAGTGGACTAAATGGTTAATTATCTATTTATTACTTCTTTTCCTCACCAAAACACCATCTGGTACACCACTAATAACCTAAAATATCTTAGGTCTTTAGATAACGTGACATACTCTCACAATTAGTTATCCATTATTATTCAGTGGACTAACAAATTACCAGCTTTAAAGCTTAAAGTATTCAAACTGGTAATCATTTTCAAGTAAATTAATACCTTTTTTTTAATAAGGTGAACAAAACTGAACACATTTCCCACAATGATGCTTTACCAAAGTTGAAAGTGGTGATAACCTCTTGTCTCTTGAAGTCAGAATTTCTGCAGACAGAACCCACAACTAAATTTGCTCTTTTCATCACTTCCAGACATTAAGTCAAAGGTGTGAGGCTGTAATTATTGCACCTAACTCCTACTTGTATTTCTCAACCCTTATATTTATCCCAACGAAAAAAAAAATCATCAGTATCTGATGTTATTATTAATTATCTGCTTTTTTATCCAGTACATATCATAAAGAGTGCTATTGATCTGTAAAATATTGTAGAGTGGATCTGTATCCAAATGTTCATGTTTTAAACAAAAATTAAAAATGCACATTGTTTACTGCATATAGTAAGCTTACACAGTAAGAACACCTTATTGTGGGCCAATTAACC